GCTATTATCATGATCATCATCATGGTCTTTACTGTGCTTTACCAGGTCGTGCTGAACAGAGCATTCGGGCCTCTCTTCACATACTTGCCAATCACTTTCGAAGACGAGGCGGTACTGCGAGACGAAGAGTGGCAGCGGGCACAGGCCAGCAAGTGGGAACGGGAGGACGAACACCAAGGTCTTATGTCTCAGGAAGACGCACAGCGGACAGCCGAGGAGCGCGAACGAGCCCACCTAGACGAACAAAACCGCCTCGAGGAAAGGAAGGAACGCGAGGCAGCCCATGGCCCTGGATCATACGAGCTCAGCAATCTGGATGGTAACATGCCACCCGCCGGCTACGGCCAGTCACCTCGACCCGACAATCGTGCGCGTAACTCAAGCTGGGCTGACCGCTCACAACGCTCCCGTCGCAGTTCGCGCTCGCAGTCCCACCACAAGAAGCGCAAGGATCCTCTAGACATCATGACCAACGCACTCAAGAAGGGTCTCGACGACGTCGCAAAGCCCATCCGCGACGCAGAAGCGCAAGTTTTACCCGCTGGCAACCTCTTCGACGAAGTCGACGACGAGCTCGCCGACATCGAGCCTGAGGCCCGCCAGAAGCTCATTAAGCGCTCTTTCCAACATCCTGCGACCCGCGCTATCCAGCCCGCTGTTTGGATCCCGCATGATGACCTGGGTGTTGCTAAGGACGAGATCCAGCGTACTAGTGCTTTTACCAAGCGCGTGTGGATCACGAGTGTGAATGCGCGGTTGGATGCGAGTGGCAGTGTGATTTACAGGGGATTGCCGCCGGATCGGGATCCGTTTGAGAATATTGAGGTTTAGACGGGTAGTTGTTGAGAACGATGGGAGGTGGACTTGTTGTATCATCATTGTGGTGTGGGTGTTGTTTTCTTTTCCTTTCATGTTAGCCGTTCGCGGCACCTTTAAAGCATACAAGCATAGCGTGGAGTTTCATGGCATTGGGGGGAGCATCAGATGCATTCATCGTCTTCTTCTAAGACTATTACTACCTATTCCGTATAACTACCTAACATTAGAGGTGTAGAACCTCATCCGTTATTCAAAATATCAGATCCTCCAGATTATCGTTCCAGCCGCACACAAACTCGTCTGTTGCCGCATTCGCAGCCAAATCATCCGCCGCAGCTCTAGCCTCAAAGGCATCCATGAGCTCCTCAAAGGAATTCTGCTCCACGATACAAGGTTCTTGGGGTAGCGGGGGGTCCGCCCATATGCTCTCAGCCGCTGGACACGCGGGGGAAAAGGAAGCCGGGAGGTCCTCACCGGGCGCCACATCATTGATCCAAGGTTCTTGGACCATCGGGGCGTCCTCCCATATACTCTCAGCCGCTGAATACGCGGGCAAAGAGAAGGCCGGGAGGTTGTCAACGGTTTCTACAGCTTCGGCGCTGTCTTGCCCACGCTCTTGTAGGCGGCAGGGGGTTCCTACCTCGACGCGTTCGTCGATGGTGTACTCGTTGAAGTCGGCAAACGGGGCGGCTTGGAACGCGAAATTTTCCTCTGATGAGGAGTTGGTGGTCGTGGTGGTGTCAGGGGTTGGTACCTGAGCTACGACGACCGGCCTAGTCTTGGGAGGTCTTCCCCTCTTCTTTGGTACCTTGGGCACCTCGTCCATAGGCTTCGCCTTAGGAGGCCTGCCCCTCTTCTTTGGTACCTTTGGTACCTCGTCTTCTTTGCCTGACTGCCTCTTCCTCTTGGTAGGCGCGGAGGGAACGGGGACGGAGGGAGTTGTTGGCCATGTTGAAGGCACTTCCCGTGTGAGGTCAAAATGCTGACCATGGGTAGTAGCATCGATGATGCTACCCTGCTGCTGCTGAAACCCAGGCGTGAAGTTCCTCCTAACATTCTGAAACATAGGCTTTGGGACGAAAGCAGTCTGAACCACAGGCTGACTAAACCTCTGTGGCTGTTGTGCGTAGGGGGAAGAATAGCAGTTAGTGGCAGCGATGCCAGGAGTGCTCACGGCGCCGGATTGTGACCTACCCGGCATGTGATAAGGGTATTGCTGGTTGGGGGCGAAACCAGCAGGAAAGCAATTTGTGGCAGCGACGCCAGGAGTGCTCACGGCGCCGGGTTGTGGCCTACCCGGCATGTGAGAGTAGTATTGCTGCTGGTTGGGGACGAAACCAGTAGGAAAGCAATTAGTGGCAGCGACGCCGGGAGGAGGGAGCTGTTGTGGCATGCTCATTCGTTGTGGCATGCTCATGTGTTGTGGCATGCTCATGTGTTGTGGCATGCTCGTTTGTTGGGGTGGGTAGGTTGGCCTTGGAGCGGAGATGGTGATCCACTGCTGCAAGTTTGTACTCCACATGCGCTGGTTTTGGGTTGCGGTGTAGGCTGAGTAAGACATGTTGGTGTATGTGGAGGGTGTTTGCTGTGTGTGGGTGGATGGAGAATTTGGTAGTTCAAGATACTTTTGAAAGTTGTGATGGTGAAAGTAATTTGGTCTGAGAGTTTGAGATAATAGGAGAGACGGAAGGGGATATCAGCTATTTATTGCAGCACGGGAAAGAAGATGTTTGGACTGCGATATATCAAAACCTTGGTTCATTTTGAGGTGTTTTCATGACTGTATGCTATGGATGTAACAGCGGCGTTGGAGGCCGAGCACATAGGCGCAATCAGACCAGTAGAGAGCATTGCAATTACCTGAAAATACATGGAAGCGTCCTCCGAGGCATCCATTAGTCACTTAGACCATGAGAACAAGCCTATCGAGTCGATGTCCATTACGCGCGACCTCGCACACATGATTGACCTGTGACTCTTCTCAAAATTGCCTCGAGCCGAGCCGCTATGCTAACCGCTTGTGCCGGGGCCACAGACCATGATGGTACCAAAACCCCCTAGAGTCCAGCTTCCGACCCAAGGCACCCATATCGCGCGGCAAAGCACGGATACCCTGCTCCTCCATGAGTTCGCCAACCCATTTAGCGAACTCCTGGCGCGTCTCCACTTCTTTCTTAGTCATAGAAGACTCCGTCATGGAGCTGAAGCTCATGATGAGGTCAAACCAGTCGTACACGCGCATATCAGCAATGATCCAACGCTTTCCCGGCGTGAACTTCCGATGAGTTGCAATTATGGCTCTTGCGACATCTTCGCCGTGGATGAAGTGCACAGCTCCTCGCTTAGCAACATCGTCTTTGGACTGGCCGAGGCGAGGCAGCCATCTCGCGGGGACGCGCTCGCCGCCGTATAGACCCGATAAATTCAGCACACAGCCGTGGAGCGCTAGCAGTTCGTCTTCCGCAACGGCCCGCTTATCCTCCTTGTCGTATGGCGCGTCATCAGCGGACCAGTCATTGGGCAGTTTATTGAAGATGCCCGTGGATCCGAGCTGCACCCAATTGTTCTTTGCGCCGTGAACGGAGCGGTAGAGCCCTACGATGGTCTTTGACTGCGAGTGCCCGACCAAAGGAAAAGTGATGAGTACGGTTTGCGCTGCTGGCAGGCGCTTGTATGGCTCTGCATCACCAGATTCGGGGTCGAACTTGAACGGGATCGTGTTGTCTCTTCCAGTAGTGGTGGTCGCGGCATACGTGATATCGGTGTCCTCCAGTTGCGGAATCAGGAACGTGGACGTCCATCCGGCGCCCAGAATCAGTAGGTCCACCTCTTTCATTTGCTCGCGTAGCATTCTGTGTTGCGGGTGTGGCGATTATTGCCGTAGAAAACGTAGCATACACGAGAGTTTTTTGTTTGGATGTTGGAAATTTCAAGAGGTTGAGCCAATGGGTGACACAAGGTGGGAACGACAGCTGGTGTTGTCGTATGAAGTCGTGACGTCTCCACACGAGCCAAATTAGCTGCTTGATGCACGGCCCATCTGTTCGGCGCAACCATGCGCACGGGAATTCTAGCTAACCTGCAGGAGACTGATGTTACTTATTTGAAAGCCTACATACTTCAGACTTTCCCGGGCTATAGGAGGCCATGTACTGTGTATGCTGCATCACAAGGTGGAGGTAAATACCATGTTGAAAGCGACGAGGATTCTGGGTTTGGCCTCTAGAAACTTGGTTCTAGAGGTGTCAATCCAGCCATAAGAATCCAATGGGAACAAGTTGAATCATAACTATAGCAGGCGCCATCTCAGTCCAGACGACAGTTTCCCGATTAGGTAAATTGTAGAGACGTGGATTCTCGCAAATCTGCTTTCAATCGAAATCTGGAATTGACGTCATGTGCGGGAGCTTGCCCAGGTGCTCTCACGTGCCAGCGCGGAAGCCCATTACATCTGAAACGCGCTGATTGGCTGCTTCCGCTTCCAGGGGCCGCGTCTTCGTCATCACTATGAGCTGAGCATCAGCCCGCGAGCTCAGATAAGTTGTCGCAAAGATCATTCGCTCGTTGCATGCTGTTTGCGCATTCCAATTGATCATCCAATGCGAACATCACGAGTTTCCCGAGACGCGTCCCGCGTTGTCGCAGCGAGTCGCACGCAACGAGCGTTACGTCAGACACGAAGCGCGACCAATGCGCCAGCTCCCGTCAAACGCGAACCAGGCAGCGACGAGAATGCTGGATCAGATTCAGACCTCAGCTCTGCGCCAGCGGACTCCGCTTCGGATGGCGAGGCGCGACGAATGCCCATGAAGAGGAAAAGAGGCCAGGACATGCCAATCATGGTAAAGAAGGAGGTAGAGGAGACATCAATCACTGCGATTGCATCCCCAAAGAAAGTCACCAAAGTCAAGAAAGCGCGTCGTGCGCCTGCGAAGAAGATAAAGACCAGCGATGGAACTGTCACGATGGAGCCACCTGCCAATTGGGAGGAGATATACACCCTGACGAGAGAGATGCGGAACGAGAACCTCGCCCCGGTGGATACTATGGGTTGCGAGAGCCTGGCGAAGGACATCAGATCGCCTCGCGATCGAAGGTTTCAGACGCTCATAGCTTTGATGCTGAGCAGCCAGACCAAAGATACTGTCTTAGCGCCTGTCATGAGAGGCATGCAGGAGAGGATGCCTGGGGTATGTTGATTCAAAGCTATATGGCTCTTCCTAGCTAACATAGTGCAGGGCTTCAACCTCGAATCGGTCCTCGCCCTAGAACCTCCCGAATTGAACGCGTTCATCAACAAAGTCGGCTTCCACAACCTCAAGACCAAGTACATCAAGCAAACGGCCGAGATATTGAGGGACAAATTCGATGGCGAAATTCCAGATACTATCGAAGGGCTGGTGTCGCTACCGGGTGTCGGACCTAAGATGGGGTACCTGACGATGAGCGCAGCTTGGGGCAAAACAGAGGGCATTGGTGTCGATGTCCACGTCCACCGCATCACCAACCTATGGGGCTGGCACAAGACTCAACAGCCAGAACAGACGCGTGCAGCGCTGGAGTCATGGCTACCAAAGGACAAGTGGCATGACATTAATAACCTGCTCGTAGGCTTTGGGCAGACGATATGCCTGCCTGTGGGCAGGAAGTGTGGCGATTGCAAGTTGGCGGAGAGAGGTCTCTGTCCTTCAGCGGTCGTAGCTAAGAGCACGAAAGTCAAGAAAGAAGCTGTTGTGAAAGTAGAAGCGCCCAATGGCAGCGAAGAGGCGGTGGTGAAAGAAGAGAAGGTGGTGGCTGAAGTCGATGAGATCAAAGCAGAAGATGTGGAAGTTGCGATAGACATAGAGGATATTGGGCAGGCGCCACGAAGAAGGCTGCAGAGGAAGAAGTAGTAAGTAGCCCTAAAACATACCTTGAAGCCATAGCACGGCGTCTGACCTTCAAATCAGAAGCGCACACCTTGAATACAGTGTTACGTTGTGTCGCGTTGGTTTGGTGTTTAGCAGCAAACGCTCTAGTATGGTCCTGGAGTGGGCCCTTTCGTCATGCAGACATCGGGACCATATCACGCCTTCCAGTCCTCACCAGGCAACGACACGCGTTCGAGCTCTTGTCTTCATTCCTTGGTCTACTCACCGTGAACTTCTGCGAGCGTCCCTAAACGAGTGCTGACAGCGCTTCTGTCACCTCATCCTACAGGCAATTCACTGCGTACCAGCCAAGTGCTGCCTGGGTCAAGCACGGTCTCTGGTCCCTGGCGACCTCATCCGTGGTACTCAAATACGTTCCCCCACGCCTACTTAAGCATTCGCGATTGGCCCACCCCTCAACCGCACCTGAGAAGAGAAATTCCACCGATCTCACTTCCGCAGACGCATGCCCACAACGCCGCTGCACCTACACCACAGCAGCTAACTATCACAAGGCTCAACGACCAGCATCCACTACGACGCCATCCACCAGTGTGGAAGCCAGCATCATGCCATCTCGACCAGAATACGAGGCGCCTACTCGGAGTCAGTCACAACGTGAGGGCCGTTGCACTGCATCCGAATCAACAAACTCCGACCCTGCATACGTCCCCATTCTCCAACGCGCCTTTCCGCGCGTCGCGATTCTACTGACATGCGCCATCTACCTCGCATCATCATTCGCAGCTGTTTACGTCGGATTCCACGGCATCGCGAACATGATATACCCTCGACATAACCAAGCGGTAGACGAGTACTTGGTGCTTTCAACATCCAAGTACACAGAGGATGCACTATACAAGAATCTGGACACACTTCTCTCTAGCCAACTAAACCGCGGCTTCATGGAGACTCATGAAGACTGTCTTGTCCGCGGTCTAAAGGAGGCCAACTACGAACTCTACGGCATCGGTTTCCAGTACCCTGACATGCGCACGCAGGTCATGGACTGGACGATGGAGAACTGTGGTAGACTGCAGTACACGCCACAAGTGGTGATACAGGATCCAACCCCACAGCAGGCTGTGCTGACATACTGGGCGGATGCGAGCTATCGCTCTCGCCGCATGCTCGAGGGAGCTCTGGGAGCCGTGCAGCAGCAGGCTCGTCGTTTCTTGAAGCTACTTTCGAGCGCGTTCACGAATAGGAAACCATCTCCCCTCACCGAACACGTTCCTGTTAGTGCCAACACTAGCGGAACGCTTCCTCCGAGTCGAGCCCTGCCCAAAGTACCGTTCGGCTTCGCTCTGCGCTGCGAGCCCACCGAACCATGCCGCCTAGTCTACCCATCCGGTTCTTCTAAGCGTGCAAATAAAGTCAGCGTCTCACGCGAGGTCCTCGCGAAGCTCAAACGCGAGATCAAAGAAATGCGGGACGCCAGCCGTCAGGTCAAAAAAGCTAAATGGGCCACGGAGCAGGTTGTGATCTTTTTCGACTACATCCACGCCTCTATCTTGGTGGTCATGTTTGCGATCATCTTCAGTGTGGCACCGTTTGTCATACCCAGGGCCCTTCGCCCTCCTCCTCCTTCCCGCAAGACGGAACAGATCAAAATCATGCCCGCATCCCTGCATTTCTGTTTTGTAGGAAGACTGATATCAGAGCTGTTGTTTTCGTACCCAATACAGCTCCCGTATGGCGCCCGGTGGGCAACGCCCTTCCAGCTCTACTTCCTGTTCGTTGGTAACACGATGCTTCTTCAATTCTTCATCATTAGCGGACCGCGGTTCGAGAATATCAACCTCGTATACAAGCAGATCAAAGAGCTCTACTTCATCGCCCGAGGGTGGGAGGTACCTGACGGAGCAATGGACAGCATGTTGACTTGGTACGGAATTCACATTCAGCCGGCGGACCCCAAGCCCAAGCCTACGGAGGTTCCTGGCGGAACGATGGATAACATACTCGCTTGGAACGGAATTCGCTTTGAAGCGGTGGACTCCAAATTCAAGCTTCCGGAGGTACCTAGCGGAGTGATTGACAAAATGTTCTATCAGTGCGGAATTCAATTTCAATACGCGGACCCCAAACCCAAGCCGACGGAGGAACCGGCCACGGTCAAAGTAACCATGTCTTCCCCATCTGATAACCGCCCACAGCACGCGCAGTCGCACCCATCGCACCAGGGTCTGGCCGCTCCGACCACTTCACTCCAGGAAGGTCCCGAGGCGCACTTCAAGAAGATCCAAGAAGGTCCCAAGGCGCACTTCAAGAAGGTCCAAGAAGCGTCAAAATCCCAGCCGGCCGAGTATATCGATGTTCCCTATATCGGATCACTTGTCGATACTGACAGCGAGACCGAGTCCGAGGACGAGCATGGAAGCTTCGTCGACCTGGCCTGTGGCGTTACCCCACAAGTCAGCGATGCGGAATCTGGCTGGTCTATTGTGGATGCTTAGGAGCGGCGTGAACATCTAGTATGGGATTTGACACGGTTGTTGTCTCATGGCATGTAGCACGGGAGTTGTCAGGCATGTCGGCGCTGGAGCTGTTCCGTCTGGCGCGTGTGGTGCAAGTATGGAATATGTACAAGAATATGGTTCTTTTCGCACGGCGATCGATGTCGGCCTCAACGGCTGTGGGTATCTACTAGTAGTGTCAGATCAACATAAATGATAATTTCATGTTATCCCGCATTTGTGACCGTGATATTCAGAAATGTCGAGCATGAAGATGAGATGGTCGAGGAAGATGAGATGATTTGCAAGGTTGGAAGCCAGTGAAAGTTGCTACAATCTACACCTCTTGATGAATTGCCTAGTCGGGACTGCGCTGATGTTACGCCCAATGTTACCCGTGAGGTAGGGTGATGGTGAGCGAACTGGAGGGTGAAGGGAAAAACCGCCACAATCCACGGTTTTTGCGACAAGTTACTCATTTAGGAAGGAGTTTGATGTGAGTTGAGACGAAACAGAGGTGGAAGCCCGAATTTGCATGTACACCAGCCCAGCGACACCATGAGAACGTCCCACCAAAGACAAATACTATGCAAGAAAGTAACATTAGAAGTACACCACACTACCACATCCTAGATCTAACGACCAACTAATCTCAAAACCCCGCTCCAGAACTCCAGCGCTTTTAAAAATCATCCTGCACATCCCCCTCCATCTATTTCTTCCCATTTCCATTCCCGTTTCCATTCCCATTGCCCACACCAAGACACTTCCCCGCATCTTCCAACTCCCCCAGAACGCGGATCTCAAGCTCACTCAACGCATCCTCACCTGATCCCTTCCTTTGACTCAGCATCTCCAGCTCGCGCTCATCAACAGCAACGATGCGCTCGCGTAGCGCACTCTTGCGACTGAGCCAGCTCTCGACATCTTCCTTGATGTTTTCCTTATCCCAGTCTAGGAGAGCGACTTCGTTGGCTTGGATACCCAGCTTGGGTCCTTGTTTGCGTACGTTTTCTAGGATGCTGGCGATGAGGGAGAGGGAGTGGACTTCCGAGGCGACGGTCAGTGTGATTTTTGTGGCTGATGTGCGGGACGAAGGGTTCGAGTTTATGCTTAGGGCTGAACGGGCGAGTTGCTCGGGGAACTGGTTGAGGAAGGATGAGATTTCTGCTGCGATGGGCGGGCCGACGGAGAGGAGGAGGTTGAGGCAGAGGGGTAGGATGCCTTTTGTCCAGATGCTGTACATGCGGGATGGGTTGTCGAAGGGTCCCATGCCGTTGGTGCGTCGGTAGTAGTTCATGATGTTTGCGGTGTTGAGTTGGCTGAGTATGCCTTCCACGGCCATGGTCTCGGCGAGGGCTGAGATGCTTGATAGAGAGAGTAGGAAGAGGACGCTGAGCTCGCCGTAGATGGGGTCGTCGACGCCGTTGTGGGAGATTGTCAGGCGGTCGGCCCATGAGAATAGACTGGTGGCGTAGCGCACGGTGTTGCTGTTGGCGAAGAGGAGAGCGGCTTGTTGCTGCCACTTCGACATCTCTGGTATCGCAATGATACGTTGGAGAAGCGCAGTGAGGAGGGCGAAGTCAGATGGCGAGACGGATGCGGGTTCGGCGTGGAGTTGATTAGCCAGACTGCGGAAGCCTTTTGCAACCGTATCTGACAGAATCTCGAGGAGTTGGGTGGAGATGGGTTCCGTGTATTTGTTGTGGCTTGTGGGCATTGTGCCGCGGAAAGAGGAGCGGAAGGATGCGTCGTCCGACGTGTCCGTATCTTCGATTAGATGGAAATGAAGGGCGAGGTACAGGATCCGTAGCAGAGACCGGTAGTAGTGCACAGCGTCAGTCGAAAATACGTTCTCGAAGTCGGGCGTAGAAGTGCGGATGGCGTTCCATACTGGAGCGAGTAGTTGGCGTGCCTCGCTTGTTCGTACTTTGGCCTCCACCAGCTTCTTAAGCAGTGCGAAAGCCAGATCTGCTCGCAGGACCATGAGCTGGCCAAATAACGCTTCCGGAAGATTCGATTGTTGATTGGCAACCATGCACTTCTGAATAACACCGACAAGCACCTTGACTATGCGCTCATCCTTTGCTACAACCTGACTCAGCTCAAGAGCCAGTAGCTTCCAGCCTTGGAGCAGTAGGACTTGAGACTCAACGAGGCCAAGGTTGTAGTTGGCCTTCTCCACTTCGGCAGCAAAGCCCGTACCTTCTCGAGGACCTGTCCATTTGCTGTTGAAGCCCAAAAGCTGCTGAGCAAGGTCGATGTCGTAGAAGAAGGCGCGCCCAAAGGTCTCCGGGTAGAGTGTGGTTCGCTTGAGGTTTCCTAATGAGACACCAGGATACTGTTGCTCGAGGTTCTGTTTGAGATAGCCGTGCAAGGATGTACTGTAGGACGGCAGCTCCAAAGCAGTATCTTCCAGGTATGTCAGACTCGGCACAACATCCTTGAGCACAGTGATGTCGCCCACTTGCCGCGAGCTGTGGAGGTACATAGCGATGACTTCGCAAGCTAACGATGCAAACCTGTTCTGGAAAGAGCGCTCCAATGTCTCGCTATTGCTGCTCATTTTTGGTTGTTTGGGTTGCTTGGCCATCCACTTCAGGAAAGCAAGCAGCTTCTGGATCAAGTCTTTACGTTGCCTTAGATCACCCATTGCCCATGACCAGTTGTTCTGCGCTGATGAAACAAACTCAAGCATGGCAGTGTAAAGAGGCCATGAAATCCCACTCGCGTCTTTCTCGGGCAAAGCCATGTTGGAAAGTGCATCGAGCGCTCGCGTGAGGAGAGCTCTGTTTCTTGAGTCATGGGTCGCGTCCTTCTTGGAGCGAATCGACTCCCGAGGTGTGCTACCAGTGAGCAGGTACAACGAGAACCATTGCTGCTTGCACGTTACTACAGCCGAAAGCAAGTTCCAGACGTTCGTCTGAATGTCCACTATTTGCAATGGCTCGTCTAGTTGTGACAGCACACTCAAGAAGTTCTTTGCGGTCCGTGGTCCGAGGTGCCCAAGTAGGGAAGGCGGTTCTTGCTGTTCAATCTGTTTTCGAGCAGTCTGCTTTGGGTCTCCGTCTGCCATGGCTGAGTCTTCTTGTCCAGCGACCCGAACAGCACCGCGGACAAGAGCTTCCAAAAGGAGCACGACCTGCGACTTCCACTTGTCACTAGTCGCATATAATCGTGCTAATAATGGCGTAGCTTTGAACAACTGCTGCTCCAGGTGTGTCCAGGGCTTGTTAAGTAGTATTGCAACCCTGACAAGGACATCGGCGAAGGCCACAGTAGTCTGCGTCTGCTGCATCCACAACGCACTCGAGGTCGTGAGCAACGTGATGTCACTAGGGCTGACACCAGTAACCAGAGATGTCATCAGCGGGTTCGTTGGAAGATCTGCACCAGATCGCGTAAGGTACAGCTGGGTAAGGTACTCAGCGATGGGCGCGATAGATTTGGCAAGTTTAGCAGATAGCTTGGGCTCGTCGTCGACGCTGTACGCAAGGTTCAAGATCGTTGTGAAGACTTCGCAGATAGCGATGTTAATCTCAGGACGGTGGTTGGGTTGAGAGTATTTCCAGTTCAAAGAGCTCTCGTATATGCTGGCAAGGGTCCGGCCGAATGTAAAGAGGATGGTGCTCATGATCTTGTCCGACGTTCCGCTTTCTGAAGGCGCGGATGCATTGAAGCGGCTAAGTGCTTTTGTCGGCACTTTGCGAGACACCGATCGCTCAACGGCATCCTTAACGAGACCCTTGTAGAGTCGAATGCATCCTATGAGGAAGTCATATCGCCCAAGAACCATCTCGGTTCCGATCAGAATAGTCGCTAAGCTTCCGTTGCCGTCGCCTTCTAGCAACCTGCTCCTAGCGAGCCAGGGCCATACCCTATGTGGTGAGACGATGATCAAGGCCTCTAGGAAGTGGGTGCAGTTGACCAGAAGCTCTAAAGAAGCTTCGTTACTAGGCTCCTGGCAGAGGTGGAGCAGCTCCTCCTCGAAAATGGCAAGCACAATGTTGACAGTATCCTGGCTGCTTTCAGCACCGATGCTGATCGCCTCCAGGAGTTCTGCTGAACAGATGCCCTCAGAAGCATGTAAAGAAGAATGCATCAAGTCGGCGAAGAGTCCGATAATCTCGATGACGCTTTCGCGAGATGCGGGTTGCTGCGTGGCGGTTTCGACCTTACTGCTGCCTACAGGGTATGTTGAAAGTAGCTCGACTAGGTACGAAAGTGTAGAGTGGTGATGATGCCATACCGCCACATAAGGCTGTGAGCTATCATCAACGATGATCCCTTCTGTGCCAGCAGGTATTCCAGACAGGCCGTCAGACTGTGTCGATCTGCCGGAGGTTAATAACCGTCGTTGCCCACGGAAGCTTGAAGGGGTTCCAGTCGAGAAGAGTGGAAGATTGGCTGTAAGTTCAACCCAGTTGGCATTCTCCTCCTCGCGCGTCAATGCATAGTCCCTGAAGCCTTCTGGGAGGCGCTGCATAAGTCGATTGTGGTTCCCAAGCTTCTCGATGAATGTAGGCATGCCGTTCTGCATGGTCTTGTCCCCGCGTGTCAATGCGCTACAGAATTTGAGGAAGGGCGTCATCTCGTAGGGATAGCGTAGGCGAGCTTCGTTGAGCAGCAGTGGTCGAAGGATGTATTCGTCTTCCAGGAAATACGCAACAACCGGATCAGCATGACGAGAAATCTCCCCATTCTCCCATCTACGGAAGGAGTTGTCACCGGTGAGAATTGTGTATGTTGTTACTATCAGATCCGGGCTGTACGCAACAATGTCACTGCCGACTGCGGCGCGGATGAGTTGGAGGAACAGTAGACGAATCCTATCCTGTGATATCTGGTCGATCGATGTTCCAAATGCTGGCAGACTGGTCTCAACTAGCTGGTTGATGATAGCTAGCACGCCCACTGCTGAGCTGATGTTGGCCAGCTCCTCATAAGGCATCTTGCCGTCGAAGAGCTCATGATTTTCAAGTCTAGCCACAACTAAAGCAGCCTCTTCGAGTGGCGAAGTCTGAGGCTCCGTGTTTCCTGTGTCGTTCGACGCTTCGATGAGACGGTCGCGCTCTTGTTCCTCGTAGCTCGCACGGGTGGTGAGCCTCCAAGTCAGGATAGCCCAGGCGAATGTAGGTGGTGTAGCCGGACTGGCGCCCAATGACTTGGCTTCTCCGAAGATGGTGGTAATGCTCTCTACAACTGTGCCGTTGAGAATATACGATGAGGAGTCCCAGGCGTTGCAGTTGCCAGATTCGAGGTCGTCCATGATCTTGTCGACTTTCAAGATAGTCAAAGACATGAGTGAAGTCAGCAGTTGAATAACCGGAATGAGAGGTTCCTGGCGAGCCGTGACTGCTGGGAATTCGCGGAAAAAGCCGCGGAAACTGAAGGCTTTGAGCCAGTCCTCGATGGTAGCCGCAGGTAGGAAGTCCTTCGCGACCAGGTCTGCGTGTACCAAGGCCAGGTGAAGGATATGCAGCATCTCCGTAGTCTGCGCGACGACCCATTTCTCTGACGCAGGCTCTAGTATCGACTCGTCGACGTCCCAGCCATAGCCGGTGTCCAAAGCGTCGCATCTTTTGTCGAATGCTTTGAGCAACTCGTCTAGCGCCTTTCCGCCCGAGGGGCCATCTTGCGCTGCTGCGATAGCCTGTCCAAGCTCCTCAATCCAGCCGGCGCCAATGCTAAGGTAGTCGTTGCCGTAGATGGTTTGGCTGCGCAAGTTGGACGCGCAGCCCCACGAGACCAGAAGCTGGCTGATGCGTATGATGGACGCGCACGTCGAATGGTATACGTCGAGGATGTGGAGGCGGCGCTGGTCCTTTGCATCGAGATGCGCGGTCTTGGAAGCGAGCGGTGAGGCCATGATGGATGAGTTTGGGACGAAAGTCGAGGCGCCTAGATTCCCGACTCCAGCGGCTTCCTGTACGCTGAGGGCCTCCTCTTCAGTGAGTCCACTCAACAGCTGTGCGGTTGGCCTGCCCTGCCATTCCTGGACGACCAACTGCAGCGCTGCATATTCTGATATCTGCGCTTCTTTGGCCAGCCACAGGCTGTCGTCCTTGATCTCTGTTACATCGTAGTGTTCGCTCTGGGCGGGAGTGACGCTGATGGGCGCGGTCTTTGATTCGAATTTGCTCTTCTCCTGCGACGACGGGTCGGGAAAGGGCTTCCACGGGTGGGCGAGGATGTCTCTGTTCTCGTTGGCGGTGAGGAAGGCGCGTAGGGCATCGCTCTTGGACGCGGTTTCGGGGTCGCAGAGGGCGCGGTATGCGATGTCCCAGGTCCTGCTACTGTCAGCTACGTTGCTGCGCTCGATGCAGGTAAACATACACAAGCTGCTGCTCGCCCTTGAGGCACTTGCCCAGGTCGAACTCGGGGGATTGGATGGGGGCCATGGTTGCGCTGCAGTGCGCGAGTAGGAAGTCAGCTACCCAAAGGCCATGAAGGTGCTGGAGAGGCGTGGGGGTCGTGTTGCCGAATGTTTGGCGTCAATGGCTACGAAAGTCGCGAAAGCCAAAGCTCACGCGAAAGTCGAGCTAGTACGTGCAGGGATCATCACAAGGGCTCTTTCTTGCGATCCCCCGACACCTTGCACACACACGCTTCAATGTCTTGGAAAGATACCAGATGCGTATAGAAATGTTATCGCCATCTAGTTTCTCGCGTGTTGGTTCGCGTCGCAATGGGGTTTCGCCTGATTTCCAGCTACCTTCTGGCAACTATGCAGCAATTGTCCGCAGTCTGCCTGCACCGAGAGAATGACCCGCTCTCTGGTATACACAGAATCTGAATAATCTGCTACATCTTCTACATCCAAGAGGTCGCGCAATAGCGGCGTTGCTGTACCAGACATGAGGTACGGTATCGTAGCACTAAGGACCGATTCATGCCACCTCCGTGTTAACTCCGCAGCCTCAATATCTGAATAGAGCATCATTGAGTCACCCCACTACTCTAGTAGACAGCCATTCCTTTCCCACCTTCCCGTTCCAAGGTGCACTCACATCTCCCGGCGCGCACTCCGCAATCGGCAGCTAATATATTCTAAACGTCGACCTCGCCGTCAAAGGACCGGCGCGCTTTCTGCCATCTGACCGCCGGAGGGTACTCAGAAGAAGCTATATAACAGCCACCGGGCTTCCAACGCGACGGCAACGCTGACGCAGAACACCGCCCAAAATGCCCGCCCTCGAGCTGATCGACCACTCGCCCAGCAATCCCACACCCTCTCCGCCTATCCCCACCGCTTCCAACGTAGTACTCATTGACAACTACGACTCGTTCACCTGGAATGTGTACCAGTACCTCGTCTTTGAAGGCGCGAAAGTGACCGTATACCGAAATGACGAAATTACGCTAGAAGATCTCATCGCGAAAAACCCTACACAACTGGTAATCAGCCCAGGTCCAGGACACCCCGAGAAGGATGCAGGCATTAGCAATGCGGCCATCAAGCACTACAGCGGCAAGATCCCGATTTTCGGCGTGTGCATGGGCGAGTGAGTTCTCGGTTTCCGGTGGGCGCAACAGGCGGGGCAGTGCTGACACGATCAAGACAGTGCATTTTCTACAGCTACGGCGGTACTGTAGACGTTACAGGCCAGGTCCTGCACGGCAAAACGTCGCCTCTCAAGCACGACGGCAAGGGCGTCTTCGCAGGCGTCTCGCAAAATGTCCCCGTTACGCGCTACCACTCCCTCGCCGGCACCCACGGCACTCTCCCAGACTGCCTCGAGGTAACTGCGACCATACCCGCCAACGAAGAAGCCGAAGTCAAGGAAGTCGTTATGGGCGTGCGACACAAGGAATACGTCATGGAGGGTGTACAGTTTCACCCGGAGAGCATCTTGACAGAGGACGGTCGGCTCATGGTGAGGAACTTCCTCAAGATGCAGGGAGGCACCTGGGTCGAAAATGAGCGACTCCAGAAAGAGGCACATGCCCAAGCAGTCGGAGCTGGTTCCAACGGCACAGCAACCGGCGCAAAGAAGGACAAGCAGACATCCATATTGGAGAAGATCTACGACCATCGCAGGGCCTCGGTCGCTAAGCAGAAGGAGATTCCGTCCCAACGACCCAGTGATCTACAGGCCGCGTATGATCTCAACCTAGCGCCTCCTCCGATCAACTTCCCTGAGCGTCTCAGGCAATCGCCCTTCCGATTGTCACTTATGGCCGAAATCAAACGGGCATCACCCTCCAAGGGCATAATTTCACTGTCTGCATGCGCTCCCGCTCAAGCAAGGCTATACGCAAAGGCCGGTGCAAGTACGATATCCGTACTGACTGAGCCGGAATGGTTCAAGGGTAGCATCGACGACCTCAAGGCTGTTCGACAGAGCTTGGAAGGCATGCCGAACCGTCCCGCCGTTCTGCGCAAGGAGTTCATCTTCGAGGAGTACCAGATCCTGGAAGCGAGGCTCGCGGGTGCCGATACAGTGTTGTTGATCGTCAAGATGCTCGATGAAGCAGTCTTGAAGAAACTCTACGACTACTCCCGATCACTTGGAATGGAGCCTCTCGTCGAGGTTCAGAACGCGGAAGAAACGGAGATTGCGGTCAAGCTGGGCGCTCAGGTCATTGGTGTGAACAACCGTAACCTTGTGAACTTCGAGGTTGATATGGAGACTACCAACCGTCTTATCAACATGGTTCCAAAAGAGACGATCCTGTGTGCGCTTAGCGGTATTGCCGGGCCCAAGGATGTCGAACCATACATCAAGAGTGGAGTTGGCGCAGTTTTGGTGGGTGAAGCGCTGATGCGCGCATCCGACACCGCTCAGTTCATCGCGGAGCTTCTGGGTGGCTCGTCTACCAAGAAGACGGGAACAGCATCAAGCCCGATGGTGAAGATCTGTGGTACTCGCAGTGCTGAGGCCGCGAAAGTCGCAATAGAAGCAGGAGCTGACCTTATCGGCATGATCCTTGCGCCAGGAACTAAGCGAACAGTCACGGCTGAGACAGCTCTGGAAATCTCGGAAACCGTGCACAAGACCAGAAAGCCTGTGGTCTCGAAATCCGGGCTGCTGGCTGAATCAAAGTCCGCCACCGATTTCTTTGAGCATGGCGCAGCACGACTGGTGTCAAGTGATAGTCACGCGCTCCTCGTAGGCGTGTTCCGAAATCAGTCGCTAGAGTACGTACTTGAACAGCAGCGACTGCTGAATCTAGACGTCGTACAATTCCATGGTCAGGAGCCTTTAGAGTGGGCAAAGCTTGTTCCTGTGCCTGTTTTGAGAGCATTCAATCCGCACAACCTTGGCATTGGCTCAAGAGGGTATCACGCTCTACCACTTCTGGATGCAGGATCCGGCGGCTCGGGTCAGCAGTTGGATCTTTCAGATGTCAAGGCAGTATTCGCGAAAGACGATGGCATCAAGGTCATATTAGCGGGCGGATTGAACCCTGAGAACGTCCAATCTACGCTCGCTGGTCTCGATGAATATCGGGACCGCGTGCATGCTGTAGACGTCAGCAGCGGTGTGGAGGAAGATGGCCAGCAAAGTCTGGACAAGATACGGGCATTCATCAAGGCGGCGAAGAACCAGTAGTGGCAGTTCAAAATTCGACTACCGAAGCTGAAGGTGATCTTCGGAATTATCAATTGTAACACAAATGGCCCGGCATTGTTCTGATCTTTCCTTGAATGCTCTTTTTGGTCCTCTTTTCCTTACGAGTCAGGCAGCTCAATATTCCCATGATGGTGGTTTGTGCCGCCGCAAATAGCGGCCTGGAGTCGCTTTGTCGGCGTCTCTTACCTATTGATGGCAGCCGCACGGTCCCGGCAAACGCTATATCACTTCGGCCGCTGCCCATCACCTCAAGGTAAGATCAACAAGGGTCTCGCCAGATTTACACCCTTAATCTGGACATCATAAGCCCTCATCTAGGTCGTCAAGCAAGTTTACAGACCATCATTCCTACACTCTACAATCCAACCACCGCGCCGCTACAATGGGTGTGTTGGACAAGCTTACTATCGCCGTTGTTGGTACTCATCCCCATGATGCTAAACAGATCAAAGCCTGGATCGAGCGAAACGGCGGCAAATACTCTGCGAAGGTCAACAAGAGCGTGACCCACCTCATCGCCAGTAAAGAGGCATACAAGAAACCCGCCGACGCTGTACAACAAGCCACCGACCTCGGCATTCACGTAGTCAGCTATGACTGGTTCGACGACTCGTTACAAGCGAAGAAGAAGCTTGGTACTAGGAAGTACACGTGGGAAGTGCTTATGAAAGAGAGGAGGAAGAAGAAAGAGCTCAAGAGGATAGGTACTCTGGCGGATGGCAGTAAGTTCAGGAAAGGTTGTGAGAACATCGAAGGGTTGACTGGATCAGGTACGTCGAAGACATCTCCCGTTGTTGCGAGAAAGCCAAGGAAGAGCAAGAGTTTCTTCTTTGCCACGTCTGCCCCGGCTGTTGCACCCATCCCTTTTGTTTCTGCAAAAGAAGACCTCTTACGTAGGAGGGCAGAAAGAGCAGCTGCATTGACTGAGGGTACTGGAGCTGGAGCTTGTGAGGGCCAGGCGAAGAACTCGGTTGAAGTCATTGACGACACTCCAAGCCCGGCCAGCCAATCTCCAAAGCCTGCCGCTCTTATCCAGACACCTCCCAAGAAATCCAAGCCCCCTGGTACCTCCAAGAAAGTACCTCAAGCTAAGATTTCTCACTGGAAAGAGGATTATCACTACTATCAAGATACGGACGGCTTCGAGTACAAGATCCTGCTTGTACGCGTGGACAATCCTCCCTTTGGCTCTGCAAATGTAAGCTCTAACCGTACAAAATGCTTATGAGACATATACTGACCCCGCACGTCTACCTCCACAGTACCACATTGCGCTATTAGAGAGTCATACAAAGCCACATGTATACTGGGCGCTTGTACAGTACAAGCCCGCTAAGATCTTACCGGCAGCGGAGAAGGAAGAGAAGGGAGATTTGAAGCAGCAAGTATATCTGAGTAGCAACGAAGTTACTCAGCACTCCGAAGCCAACCGCCTATTCTCCCTCATCACCAAGCCAGCCCCAACACCAGAGGCTCCGTACAACGGCGAGCTATGCCCCCGCGGCAGTGACTTCGC